ATTCTTATTTTATAGTTTCTTGCTTAAATATTGTTCTATATTCTAAGTAATTGATAACAATTAAAATTAGAATATTCCAATATACACACATACATGTTATATATACTACAAGGGTTCATTTACTGTGATGCACAAGTAGATAATATTAATAATTTTTTTATTGGCAACACTGTGTAATCATAGATTGCTTTATTTGCATTTCCTTTCCTATTTTTATTGTTTTTAACATCTTTGATGATTTTTTAAAAATTTATTCACTTTGTTGTTACTAGCTAGGCCTCAATGATCTATAAATATAATTTTCTTAATTTTAATAAATTATTTTTAATCAAATTGGCTATCAAGTTTCTTTACACGATTTTAGTCATCATAATTTTATAAATGCGTTCATAAAATAATAAGACCTTTTTTTCATATGTACAAATTTCGTCAACGATACCATAAAATATTTGTATGTGGGATATATGGGTTGAATGTGTAATATTGCGGGGTAATTTTAAGTGATATGGGATAAAAAAAATAATTTATTTTATATGCATTATGTACCATATGCGTATCGTATTGTGTTTCAAGGCATAATTCATGTGAAATTTAGTCATTGCTGCTGTAACATGTTTTGAATTATTTACGTGTATTCAGAGTAATATGGAGTGTAATTTTAACATTGAACACATTATTATTTGTGCTCAAGTGTTTTTTAAACATCTCCTTCCGGTTTAATAGAATTTTAATATTGAAATATTTTGTTATATTGTACGATATTTAATGTTCGCGAAAATAATTTAATAATTTAACAATTTAGTCTGTATAAATTGCAAAGCATTATAATTGAGTTCTAGCAAATATTTTATATGCTTTTATCGAAGCCTTGTCACATGTCCTGCCACAGTGTCACATGCCCTTGTTTAAAGTAGTCTTTAAAATTTTGCATAAACAAGAACTTCTTTAAAAAATCTCTTCATCTCACTCATAAGAATTTTTTGCTTTCACTTAAATAAAAATTTCTTCTAACAAAACAACAGTTCTTACAAACTGTTCTTGTAAGAAACCTTTAAAATTTCATAAATCTTAATGTAAAATCTGAACAATTCACAAAACATCTATAAGATTTAATTTAATAAATAATATTTTGTGTATATTGCTTCATTTGCTCTACTTTTATTCAATTATTCTTGATTTGTACCTACGCTTCAGCATAATTTATAAATTTTTCTTAACATTTTTTATGAATTGCAACATTTTCATAATATTAAAATATTATGAATTTTTTTTAAATTGAAATTTAAATTGTTTAATATATATATAAAAAAAAATTTGTGTTGGCATAGAGTTTCCTGTTATGCACAACATTAAGAAAAAGCGACTTCATTGTTTTACATGAATTGTCCTATAACAATTACAGTATATTATTACACTGCGTTTATAATGGTCAAGCTCTAATAAACTTTATGTATTGATTTTTAGAATTTACAATTAATATACAAACTGGTCGGAATTCGCTTTGAAGAACGTGCGGAAAAGAGAGTGGTGAACTCGAACGTCTAAGGGTAGTACTAGAGGGTTAAAGAAAATCGAATTGAAAAAAATTCTGTTTAAAAATAACCATAACAGCTTTGAAATTGCTAATGTTAGAACGATATATTGTTTGCAAGTTTGATTCTCAATTAATAGACCTACAAAATGGTAATGTACGTAGTTGGTGTCAGACTTACCGTTTCCATGCAATAGCTGCTTAAACGTAAAAGTTTTCTCAATATGGAAAATTTAATATGCGACTAATATACTGACGAAAGCTAGAGTTACTTAGAGTTCAGAACCACTCAAATATTTTCAACATATTACGACATCTAGTAGTTTAAATTTAAAATACTACATGATATTTTAAATTCATTCAGGTTGAAAAGCATTAATCTGGCGTTTCACTGTATATTGTTAATATAATATAAAGAAATTAAGAATTAAAAGAATTAATAAACCATTTATCACATCCTTAAGTGTCTTTAACTGAAAAGGATTCGGTCTTATATTAATAAAAATTTCTATTATACATTTTGAGCGCTTTAAAAATGATCAGAAATATTAAGAATACAATGGCGATTTTTTTTTATAAATTTCAATTGAATATAAATGGTAGACTTTGATCGATTTAAATAAATCATTGTATACTCTTATTGTTCAAAATAATATTGAAATTCAAAGCACAAAAAGTAGCAAAAGCGCAAAAACAGAAAAAAAGAGAAAAATACTTTTAATTTTTTAATTTTCATTTTCTTTCTTATACTCAACCACAAAATTCTAATTTTTCAATTTTTTATGTATTTCAAATATAATACCGTTTTTTTTTAGCCCAAGTCTAGTATAACATTAAAAATGTGCCAATTATACCCAATTATATGCAACTAACGAGAAGAGTAGAACAGAAGGGAAAATTTTTAGGGATGTATAGGGGCGCCCTCCCCCCCTCCCCCTTCCCCTCTTCCTTATAAACTTTTGTATATACATTGTAAACCTATTTAAGTAATTTTGTTTTTTTTAGTAATCTAGATTTTATTTGAAATTTTAATATTTGTTTGTATTTCATGTTCTTTTGATACCAAAAAAAAAAAAATAGCGTATAATTGTAAAAAGGGCGGCTATAGTTCTAGTTTCTCTTTCAACTTGATTTTATTACAATTTAACATTTGTGTTTTCTGTTTTTTTGTTTTTTTGGTTCTTGATAAATGCATCATTTTCAACAAATTCAAAATGATTAGCGCATTTCATCTATATGTACATAATATCTTACTGGTGGGTCGGTCGTATAGTTCTAAACTTCTAAAATATACAATAATAGTTTTGTTTTTTTTTTTTTTTGTTTATTATTAAAATGATTTAGTTTTGTGGTTCATTGAACTAAATGGTGGCTGGCCATTTTTTTGCGTTCTTCTCTCTCTCATCATATACATAACAATTATAATATGTATGAAGTTCTATATAATTTCGTTATTACTAGCAATAGTAGCTAAGTACAAAATTTTTCATGTACGATATTTACAAAATGTATAGTTTGTGTACAATATATTTTGTATATGTAGTAGCAAACAAATTTTTGTACATATTTTCATATATGTACCGAATTAATTTAGAAAATACAAAATGTATAAAAAAACTAAAAAAAAAAGTAATAAAAAATAATTCTTTTTTTGTAAATATTTTTTTTCTTCTTTTTATATATTTTTTGTTATTTTGCCTCTTTAAAGATGTAAAATACGCTTTTAATATAATTATGGAATAGATATAGTCCGATGGTAACCGTAAAGAGTAATATGAGGAAAGAGGAAGGATTTTTTTTTTCTGGTACGTACGAACAAACAAACAAATGAACAAACAAAAAATGAATATTGGAAAATGCATAGAATTTCATTTCATTATTAAGTATACATTTGTATATATATATATTTATATATATATGAAAAAAATATAAATTTATATTATAAAAGTGAAGGTTTTGATTAAAATTTTCATTTTGGTTCATTTCAGTATATTATTGAATATCAACGTTTAAAGTATTGTAGAGAGAATTTAAGATCAACAACTTATACTTAATTTTTCACTTTATTTTTTTTTTAGAAAATTAATTTATTTCATTTATGGTGACAGACAGCAGCCCAGCACAAGTAGCAATAATAAAAATCTATAGAGATGTTAACCAGAAAATTATATCGATTGAAAAAATATATTATTGTTAGTATTATTTATCATAAAGAATTAATTTAAATTTCACTTGGATCTGTTTTAAATTAATTCAACATAGGCACTGTGTATTTCATCTTATAATTTTTCATATATGCATTTAAGAAAAGTCAAGGACTTTTTTGATAATTCAAAAAAAGAAAATTTTAATTTGTAAAATAAATTTCCATCGATATTTTTATATATAGATTTTACATTGTAACAATTATATTGAATTTTTATAATTGATTTTAAAATTAATTTTGTTTGTTTCATTAAACATTTGTAGAAAATTTAAAGTTCAATATTAAATGGATAGCTAGTATAGAATAATAATTTAATAAATACAAAAATAAATAAATAATTCAATTGTAATAAAAATGAAAATATTGAAAATATTTTCTATTTTAAAAAATTCTATTCTAAGTAGTAGGTACATAATATAGGGAAAATAGTTATTTATTGTGAAAATGTGAAAATAAAACTGATAAAAAGAAATATTTTTAATTACAATCACTTATTATCAGTTTAATTAACACATTTTTCCCTTTTCTTGTAATTATTTTATTAAAGCGCCTTTATATCAAGTTACCAAGTGTTATTCTTGGAAGAATCGCTATTTATTTATAGTAAAATTATTTTTATTTTCTTTAATAGATTTTAGCATTAGATAATATTATTGCCTCAATTGTATTTGTTGCAAGACATTTAGAAATGTGAACTATTCTTAAAAAGGAAACTATTTATTGCTACAATAAAATCTAATTTAATTAGTTTAAAGTAATTTTTCTGTGTGATTGTACTTGAATGATTTTTGATTTGTGAAAAAAATTTTGGGTGGTAAAATGGATAAGAAATTATATTGGTACCACAAAAACTGTATACGGCTTTTTATAAACACCATGGATATATAAAAATAATTTATATTTATTATGAAAATATCATTGTTGGACTTATATTTGGGGCCTTAATTTGTAAAAAAAAACAATTATTTATACCATTATTTTATTGCTAACTTCTTTTACTAAGTCAAAGATTCATTGATTGTAAATTGAGAATTTATGGTTATTGATTTATTGCAATCCATTGTAAATTAATTTGTTATACATTAAACATAAAATTACATTGTTTAAATATTGAAATTTTAAAATTGCTACTTATTATGACAAATCTTGTGTAAACATATTTATATTTATTTAAATAATTATTTTAAATTAAATAAATTAAATTTTTTGATTCTCTCATATTTTAATTTTTAATATTTTCATATTTTTTTTTTTCATATACAGGAACTACAACATGAACGTGATGTACTACAGGAAAAAATGTCTGAACAAATGGTACGAATATCATCACTTCAATCAAAATTAGATGAACAAAAGAGACGTGCTGAAGATTTACAAAGAATTGGATCATCTGATTTAAATATACGTATACATGATTTACAAAATGATTTACAAAATTTAACAGAAACATTATCGGCACGTGATAAACAAATATTAAATTTAAAAAATCATTTAGAACAAAGTAAAAATATTATTGATAGACAAGAAGCTGAATTAGCAATGGGTATTAATAGTGATCGTAGTCAATTGGAAAAACTTGAAAATGAATTAAAACAGAAAAATGAAGAAAATAAAAAATTACGTGAAAAAATTAAATCAGAAATGATTAATAAATTAGCATTACCAGATCTAATGGAAACAATGTTAGCTGATAAAAATGAAGAAATCGATCAATTACGTGAACAATTGGAAACAAAAGATAAAGAATTACAAAATTTATTAGAATTAAATTCAATTAATAATAGCTCTAAGGATAAAGATAAAACAAATTCTGAAAATGGTGCCGGTGAAGCAAAATTAAGTGCCAGAACATTAAGTGACATTGTATCAATTTCTGAATTTGATGAACCTGATATTTTACGTAAAGCAATACCACAACAAAATACTCCATTAGTAATACCACAACCAAGTGATACTCATTTACCGGAACAGACTATGGTGAGTTCTTGTTCTATATCGTAAAAAAAAAAAAAATTATAAAAAAAAAAATTAAAAATGTGAAAAATAATAATCATCTAAAAACATAATATTGATTGATGTCTTCTTCTGGTTCCATGTTTTAACACTAAATGTACGATTGATAATTCCTTTTTTGTGATGTTTTAACTACTGCTTGAATACGAATTATTGAAAATAATCTTCCATGAACAAACAATCACATAAAATATAATATGTAATTTATTAAATTATAATTAGTTTTTACTCGGAAATTCAAGAATGTGCATTACTTACCTAATTAAAGGAAAGGTGAATTAATTATGTCTTGTGTCTCTTTCATAGTGCACGTGTTTTATTTATTATTTTTGATTTTACTTTTAATTTTCAAGTGCAATTATTTTATTTTTAATTTTTTAGCACTATAATTTTATATTCTAAATTAAACGAATTTGTTTTTCTATTTAAAAAAAATTTATTACCCCAAACAAAATAATTTTTTTTTTATAATTGGAATCAATTGAAATAGTAAGAAAATTTATGTAATTTATCTATTCATAAATTCGCTATATCTGTTCGATTGTATCATTTTAATTAGAAGCAAACGAATTCTGAAATAAATTCTAATTATTTAAATTTCTTGAAATTTAATTTGATATTTCTACCGCAAGATTTTCTCAGTTTTCTATATAAATTTGAGCTTTTAAGTTTTTGCACTATGCACGTGTTATATTTGTATTGTTTCTCTTAATTTACCAACATTGAAACTAGTTTCTTCCATTATAATACTACTTTCAATTTTATGATAATATTTATAAATACAAACATCTATTTTAATTTTAGAATACATCCAAAATGGGATTAGCGAATTTAACTGAGAAACGCACTGATGATTTAGCATTGTTTAATTCATTACAACAACCACCATCATTTAATCAACCAAATTTCTTTGCACCAGAAACATCAGTTCCTAGTGGAACTTTGAGTAGTGTTCCATCATTTGCTCCACGACAGATAAACTTTTCAGAATTTATTAACGATTCAACACCAAAGAAAGGAAATTCAGAATCAAGTAGCAATAGTGACAATGAAGATGAGCCAAAAAGTTTAAAATTAAAATTAGATTCAGCTCGTGGTGAGATTTCTGAATTAAAAATATCACTTGAACGTATTTCAAAAGAAAAAAATCAAACAGTTGAAAGTTTACAAAAAGAGCTTGAGGAAAATAAACAAACTTTAAATAATCTTGGTACAGAAAAAATTAAATTAGAACAGCAAATCACTGAACTTGATACAAAAATAAAAAAATACACAGATTTAGAAAATGAATTTAAATTAAAAGAAGAGAATTTCAAAAAATTAGAAAATGAGTTTATACAATTGCAATTAAAGTTAGGACAATGTGAAGACTGTTTAGATGAAAAAACCAAAGAAATTACAAATTTAGAAAAACAAATTATGGAAGTGGGAAATGAAAATACAGATTTGAAAAATAAAATTGAAAATTTAAGTAAAAATAATAATTCGGCTAACGAAATTGAAATTTTAAATGAAAAAATAAGAAAATTAAGTGCAGACAATAGCACATTGCAAGCAAAATTAGATGATTTAAATGCACTTAATTTCACAGAGACAATATTATTGCTTAATAATCAAATTGATATATTAAAGGAAACTGTTGAAGATAAAGATAAAATATTAGAAACATATGAGGTTCGTTTTTTAGATTTTGAAGATAAATTAAAAATTTCGGAAGAAAAAGCAAAGGAACTCCAAAATAAATTGTCAGAATTGTCATCCAAAAACAATAATTTTATTGAATTAGAGAAACTAACAGAAGAATTGAATATAGTACGTTCTAATTTATCTGAAAAATCTATTTTGTATGAGAAATGTTTGCTTGATATAAAAGAACTGAAATCTGATAATGAAAAATTAAAAGAATTTTTAAATGAAAAAGGTAAATTAATTGAAAAATTAAGTGAAGAACCAGAAAAAGAAAACATCAACGAAATAAAAGAAAAGTTAACAACAGAAAAAATTCGCAATTCGGATCTTGAAAAGCGTTTGTCGGCATTAGAAGGTGAACTAGAAAAATTGAAATTACAACAAAATAATGAAAGTTTAAATAAACAATTAACATTAGATGAAATTGCTCAACAAGTTGAACGTGAATTAAATTATTCTGCACAATTAGATTCAAACATATTAAAAGCTATAGAGAGCGAAGAAGAAACTAATGTAGAATTCAAAACTGATAGTGAAAAACTAATGGAAAGAGATTTACTCAATCAGTTAAAATCAGTTAAAGACGAATTAGAGCAGCACAAACTTGCTTCAGTTCAAATTTCAAAACAGTTAGAAGACGAAAGGAAACTATCTAAAGCACTTAAGGATGAATTAAACTCATTAAAACTATATTCAGAAAAGATTGCTGCAGAACTAAATCAAGAAAAAATACATTCAGCTGAAATTCAACAACAAGATTCTGAAATCATTGATGCATTACGTATTCGTTTAGAAGAAGTCTTACAAAAAGAACAAGAATTACATAAATTAATAGATGAAGAACGTGAAAAATGCAATCGTTTAACAACACAAATATCGGTTTTACAACATTCGGAGGCAAAGAAAGCTAGCTTAATGTTAAAGTCACCACCAGATTCACCTAGAAAAGCATCAGGTTCTCCTGATTTTGAAAATAATTTAATACGTCGTTTAAAAAGTGAAATAGAACTATTAACTTCTCAGAATAAACGTGAACGCGAAAGAATGGCTGACTTGCAAAAACTTTTTGAAAGAGAAAAGTCTCGATTTGAAAGTGAATTGAAAGATCATATTGATCATGGAGAATCATTTAAATCTAAACTTGAACGACTTATCAAAGAAAAAGATTTGTCCGATCAGGAAATAGAACGCTTACAGGAACATACAATTTTACAGACACAAGAAATAGAATCTTTAACAAAACGAGTTGTAGCACTTCAGGAAGCCGAAACAAGACGTCTTCAGAGACGGGAAAAAGAACGTTCAGAAAGTACTCAAAATTTAGTTGATTTGCAAGACTTAAAAACAAAACTTCATACATTAGAAATAGAACGTAATCATATGAATCAAACCATAGATTTATTAAGAGGTGACGTTGAGCGTAGCGCTAAACGTGAAGCAAAATTAGCTGAAGCTTTGGCATCACAATCACCTGATGCAAGTATTCCACAACAATTTTTAGGAAAAATGAAAGAAATGAATACATTACTTAAAGAAAATATGAAAGAGTTGATGGATGAACGAAAAGCTTTACAGCGCAAATGTGAAGAACTGGAAAATCATTTGGCTAGTAGCGGTTCGAGTGGAATGACTAACACAAATGAATTAGCAGAAAGAGCAAATCATTTACTGGGTCGTTTACTACGTGTTGAAAGCCATAGAAAGGCTCTTGTTCACCAAAAACGTTATCTCATGATTTCACTATTAAGCTATCAGGAAAGTGAAGCTAAAGCAATGGCATTAATTAATGGTAGTGATAGTATTTTGCAACCTAAAAGGAATTTATTTAAGTAAATTGAATATTGAATTTAATTATTATTTATAGATTTAAAAAAAATAATAATTTTAGGTCGGTAGCATTAGCAATTATTGCAATACAAAGAATGAAATTTATAGCTAGGCGTTGGCAAACTGGAAAACGAATAGTATCAAAATCAGTTTTTACAATAACGCAACAAAAGTACGTTCACTTCTCGTTTATTAATTTTTTAATTTTATCTTTTATTTATAATTTTTAATTTTGCTTTTTATTTCAATTTATAAATGCCTTTTTTATAGACGTGCACCATTAAATGCAACAAATTTTTATAATGCTGCACCAATATCAATTTCACCACCATGTAGGGATACAAATCCACCAGCAAATGCAACAACTGCTATTAATATAAATTCTCCACCGTTCCAATTACAATCTCCAACTTTAATTACAGAATACGTAGGAAATCAGCATCATCATCATCAGCATCAGCATCAGCATCAACAGCCACAACCTCAAAAATTTGATTGGAGTCGACTAAAGAAATGAATTAAGAAGAAAAGCAATTATTGAAGAAAATTTAATTTTAAAATTTGCATGTATTATAATTTAAATCTCTTGTTTATCTTTTATTTTTTATTTAGTTTAGTTTTTAAGTTTTATTTAAGATGAGTGATTCCTTTCTAAATTTCTTTGTAGGTGAGTGAAATATTATTCTGTTATACGTAGATATTTTACTTATTTTTTTTTTTTTCTTTTAAATTTACTAGTCTCCAGTATTTATTAGATTTATACTTTTTTCATGTTTTTTATATTAAGTTTCTAATTAGTTATTTTAAACTTAAATTAGATTTAGAATTTATTTTTATAAAAAGGAATATTGTTAGAATCAACTGCAAAAATGAATTATTAGAGAAAAGTTCTAGTGCCAAATAATTTTGGTTATTCTGGTTTTATTTTTAAATGGTTTATATCTGATTTAATAGAATTTTATTTATCGCCTCATTCAATTTGAGGCCTCGGTTTTGTTATAATACACTTTTGTAATGTAATTTTTGGCAACGTTTTCATTTTATCATTAAACCACAATTAATTGCATCCTAGCCCATTTCGAAAAAGTTTTTATTTTTTATTAAATTTATTATAATTAATTTTTCAACTGAATTTCTTCTTTTAATAAATTAAATCCAGTTTATCAGTCCAGTAATATTTTATTTTAATACTTATATTGTGCAGTTTATTCTAACAATATTTATAAAATTAAAATTGACCTCTTTCAAATTTTTACATCAAATAAAATTTTGCACTTTTTAAAAAAAAAATTAAAGAAACAAATAATTTTAAAATTATTTTATGAAAGATTTTCTTTTTTTTTTTTTTGTAAAAATAAACTGTTTTAGAATGTTGTTTTATAACATATCACAAATAAAACTTTTCAAAACTGTTAACAAAACCATTAAGAAATTACAAAATTACAAAAATTTACAGTGCCTTATCACAATCGAAAATTTGGATTTAAAATAAATTAAATTAATAAAATTTATAAATGAAAAAACAAGAACCCTTGTATAAAGGCTTAATATACAAAAAACAAAAAATTCTTATTTCGTACACAAATTTGAAAAAAAAAATTTTTGAATATATATATATGTATGTATATTTATATTTTAAGGAGAAAGGAAAAAGAAAATTTATTTATTTATATGTAGAGTAAGTGTATATGTGTATAAAGTAGAATAGAATTAGTTATGTTCCTGTTTTTTTCTTTTCTCATCCTTTATAAATTTCTTTATAGAGAACGCATTAAAAACATTTGAAAGAAAAATGTTAAATTATTAAATTTTGTTAAAAAATTTTTAAAATTACACTTGTAAAAAAACAAAAATCAATCAAATTCTTATTATTTTTTTTCTTTGTGTAATTTAAAATTTCTTATATTGGCCACTAGAATTAGATTTAAATTTATAATTAATTTTTTTAGTTTAAAAAAATAAAGAAAATAGAAAACAGTTCTCGAAAAAATAAAAAAAAAAAATGAGAATTAAATTATTAAAACTTTGTTTAATTTATTTTATGTTAATATAGAAATAGTAGAAAATTTTTCAGGTTAAAGTTAAAAATGTAAATAATTTTATACAAGCAATTATTGTACAAATAGTTTGCTGTCTGAAAATAGTTTCTAAAACGTGTTTCTAAAGTTTGAGAAACAAAATATTTGAATTTTTGCTGTCCTGGCATGTTCCTTTGCCAACGTAAGAAATTTTCTTTGATTATTTCTTTAAGGAATTTTAAACAGATAAAATAAAGAACTAGCTAGAACATTATTATTATTTTGAGGCACTCTTAAAGTTTATGATAATTTTTAAAATCTTTTATTATGAACAAGTAAATGATTTTGAAACGGTATGTAGGAAACACAAAATTTAAGTCTTATATGGCATAGTTTGAATGAAGAGATATTGTAGATGTCGAATAAATAGAAAAATAATTAATGTCTATTGACTGGGACGCATCCATTTTGTAACCCCATTATAATATCAAACATTCTGTTAGCCACATCACTTGCGGTGAAGGTGATGGGGTACTATTGAAAAGCATTTTACTTTACAGCTTAGAATTTTTAATTTCTTAATTGATATTATTCTGAAAATATTGCAAAATTTTAAATAAAAACTCTTATGAACTCTGTTTTTATGAATAACAACTGAATGTTAAGACTTCAAGTGATGCGACTAACAGAATGTTGGTGATTGTTCTAATGTAGTGTTAAAAATAATTTAAATAATTCGTTGAAAAGCTTTAAAATTTAAATTTAAATAAAAAAAAAGAATATTTAGTAAAAAAAAAAAGCTTTTATATTCATCTGCACATTTTGAGAATCATTTACAGAAATTAAAAATTTTCTGCTGAAATATCCTTGCTGTTATCCTTAAGGCTGAACTCGAAATGAATCTAAATAGTATTGCTGACTGATATAACTAATAATATAAGGGGTGTGGGGAGGGGGGTAGGTCTAGGTATGTTTGTTTTCGTTTTTTATTTACCTGCATTAATTCTAGTAGAATTTGTTTTATAACTTGTTGAGAGTTAATTTCTCTTTGGAGAAAATTTAGTAATCATGTAAAGAGAATTTATTTTGTAATTTATATAAAGGAGACTTTTAAAGTATACTCGTAGTTATTTATTATAAAATCATTTAGTGCATTCAAAATTCATGGTATGTATATGTTAAGGATTTGATTAGTATTAGTCTTGACTTCTCTTAATGAAATTTATGTTGAAACGTAAGTTCACAGATTTTTATTAGTGCATTGGATTATTATAAATTTAAAATTAAATTTAAAATTAAATTTTATTAGAATTTCTATTCGCTAACATTCCACTATACTTATTGTGATGAAAAATATTGTGTTACAGATATTTACAAAATACTTATTAGATTTAATCAATAGGAAAATTATTAAATTAAAATATGGCAATTACAACAATAACCCAAGTAATAATTTATGTAAGAAGATTTGTTGTAAAGCTACGATTTCATTTCGAAATCTCAAACCAAAGGAAGTACATATATGATTTTCACTTCCATTTAAATAAATTTAATTGGATAATTTAAGCAAGCGTTGTAATGATTGAAATTTACGGGAAATTTTTTCAGAAACAAAACCATGCTGAATATAGGACTTTAATTAAGAACTATCTCGAAAATATTTGCAATGTACAATCGGTCTACCAATGCCTATAATGAATACATATTAAATTTATATGTAGGTGACTATTAATCGCCTTCATTTAATAATTTTATGACTATCACTCAAGAACAGTGATATCAATGGAAAATCACAACAGGCCCCATGTACTAACTACGTGGTCTCATATATAGTTTTAGGCTATTGAAATCTAAATATTTCATATACAATACCGTGATCGCGAAATATTTTCAAAAAAAAACTGAAGTGACTAAAATTTAAAAGTTCTTTCACTTAATTTTGTGGTAGATACGATTATGGTGATATTTTAATCCTTAAGTTTTCTCTTTTGAAATAAATTCATTTTTTAATATTACAGAAGAAAAACCAAACAAAAATTAGGTACCATAAAATTGGATGGTATATGTAATAATCAATTCTTCAAGGATTTCCTAAAATTATAAAAGAGAAAAACAAAAATAATATTATATAAAATGGTTTTTGGTTTGGTTTTTTAAATTAACAGCACGTTTTACATATACAAATATTCTTATTTAATATTTTCGCACATACGCTTATTATATTTGTTGTGTTTACGTTTGTGTTTACACAAGTTTTTTTCTTATACGTAATAATACGCTATTCTTTTTACTTTTGGAAATTTTTTACAAAAAAAAAATATTGATTAGAATGATGATGTCTACAAAATGTATTGCGTGACAAATTTTTTATTAAACTAAAAAAAATTCTTTACAATAAAATTGTATAATATGTATGTAGGTGTAAATGTACGAGTATATATGGTAAAGAAGATTAAAATAAGATTTTTTATATTTAGAATGTGTCAGTTTTGCGGTATATACGAGTAGCAAGTAGCTACAATTTATAAATAATTGTCTACAGTTTATTTTAAGAAAATCTTTTGTGAAAATGCATCTCAATGATTATAAATTGCACGTGTACTTTAATACACGCATTATTCCGAATATGGTCATTAACCCAAACACATGCATATTATAAATTCAGAATCACCATAAAATATTTTCTGCATAGATGTTGCAAGCGATACCCACTCCAGTATTTTTCCTGAAATATATAGTAATTTTCTTAGGAACCATAACGAAAATTCAACGTGTAATAGTATTAAAGGTAGTTGTAATCTTACAAATTAACCAGCATCATGTTATGCAGTTTTTCAAAAATTTTGGTTTAATATCACATATTTGAGCAACTGAGAACGTATACTAGCACACGTTTGAGAACGAACAAACGTTCAATGAAATTATGATGGAAACGTTCAATGAAGTTATGATGGAAATTCAGGCCATATTCATAATATAATTAGTGTAATAGGCACAATACCTACTGATATATACTAATGATCTTGTGTGTTTTATGCAATCTACTATGCATGTAGCAACTCAATGTAAACAAATACTTAGCAATCATGTGGATTACAGTCAGTGTTCCCACTCGGAAAAAATAAAATGTATCCAATTTCGAGAAAAAAATGTATCCAAAATGTATCCAACCTCGTAAACAAGCATTATTATAATAAGTCGTCTTATTTTGTACAAATTAACCCATAATTAATATTAATTTGCTTTATTCCACAATATGAGTTTTATTATTTATACTAAATTCTTTAAGAAATCACATACTTCTATTATATTTTAAATGTGAAAGTTAAGGTCAGAAAAAACATATGCATATATGCCTTCTGAAGTTGTTGAACTATGCGGTAAAGACGATTGACCAGGAAAACGGACAAATTTTAAAAAATATGTACATCCAATGCATTTTCTATTACATCTAGCTAACACTAAAATATTTTTGGTACGCTCTTGTATGAATTTTCTAAATTTGAATTAAGGAAGAGGCGGTTAATAAAGTATCTTTTTTACTTTCTTGTAAAAAATTCGGAAACCTGCTTAGAATAGCCAGCAAATAACATTTATTGATGATAAAGCAACTTCGCGATTTAATATTAGCAGCATTTTAACTGTTTTGTAATATTTATTTAGTGTTTGAAAAAAAATGTATCCATATTTCAGCAAAATTTTAAAATGTAGCCAATTTCGGCATTTTAGCAGATTTGAGTATCTTTGTATCCAAGCTCAAATTTAAAGCAAAAATGTATTCAAATGGATACAATTGTATCCAAGTGGGAACGCTGATTACAGTATAAAACAATGTGCGAAGAACATTTTGTCGGCAAATTCTTCATACCTCTGTAGCTCAGTTGGTAGAGCGTCCGCCAAGAAAGCGGTAGGTCACTGGTTTTTTTCTGCCTTTAACTCGTTCCTTTGATTATGTCATCCATCTATTCTGCAGTTGTATAAAGAAATTTCCATTAAGTATCATATTTCAGGCTTTATTTGGGAAAAACAAATATTAAACGAGGAAAATACTTAATGAGTGTGGAAATAGTATATGACAGTAAACCTCTGTACCTAGAGTGATATAATTTAATGAAATAGGAGGCAATGGTTATTTAAATATAATCAAGGCATACAAGCATACCTTTTCGCGATTAATAAATTCAATGGTTCCGATAAACTGCATTTTTCGAAACAAGTTCAAACTACTGAACTAAAATTTTTAAATTAGCAATTACACAAAATGAAGCTCAAAGTGGAATATGTAGAAAATATGATACAGAAATAAGAATAAAAAATATTTTTTTTTTA